TCATTTTGAGCGACTATCCAATCATTTATTCATTTCATTACCTTTACATAACCTTTGAATTATTAATTTCCAGAATATAAATACACATCAATCTTAACCATGTTTATTCATACACTTTATATCCCTATTCTTCTTATCATTATGATTTTGTTTATACTTTGAATATCTATCTAAACTTCATAAACTAATGTATACTAAACATTTGTCAATAATTATATTTATAATTGTAATTTTAGGTTGTATGCAGCTGATGAGAAATGGCGAAATAGAATGAATTCTGAAAACCGTGTTGTTTTTTGCTTTGATCAGAAATATTTCCTCTTCTAACGAAAAGGGTTTGTAATCACAACTTATTATATCAGTAGCAAAAAACGAGTAAATCGATAATAAAATGGAAAGTAAATAAATATACTACTAAAGTCAGAACAAGTAGTTATAACCCCCGGATTGAATTACCAAACATTAGGTTGTGCCTAGTTAAAAATTAGTGGTTTTGGAAAAACGTGAGGTTCGATATTAAGCGTAATCTCTTTGAAATAGTTATCATTATTAGGCAAAAGGAGATTAGTCAGGAATTTTATGTATACGAGTCTGAAACATGGAATCCTAATTGATTAGAAAGAATAGAAATTAATCTTGACATTCTTTGTTTGAAAACAATTTTGAAAGATTTGTCCATTATTCATCAAGCTTTGTTTCTTATCAGGTGTAAACTTAAAGTAATCTACTTCTAAAATCTTGTAAAAATTACTCGAAATTCTATGTAAATACTTAGTTCCACAAGTATATCTGGATCCATGAATACTACTCGAAGCATCTACAGGATGACATTGATTGACAGTTAAATATATGATGAGAGAAAATTATTATCAAATTTGAATTCATTAAAACTTTCTATGCTAAATACTGATATTCACATTATTATTGATGGATTTGTCTAAAAGAAAACAATGAGTCCCTCAATATTTAACAGGATATAATGTAGAATAAGTCTTTCATTGATTAATTATGCTTGATAGGATCATTTAGAATTTTTTGCGTAGATCTAGCAGAAAACACGTGTAAGTGTTAAAATAATACTTGAATGAACTGTAATCTCTGTGCTAATGGGGTAAAAGTACACACTGCATCGAATAAATATTTTTTGATTGAGATCATGAACCGATTGATGTTAGACCACTTTTGGAAACCTGGAAGCACTGGACGACCGTTTCGTCCTATTGTGGGACTCCTCAGCAGTGCGCATCCACGATCCCGCTCGCGGGATTCGAACCCAGCACCTTCGGTCTCGCGCGCGAACGCCTAACCTACTGAACCACTGGGCCGGCATCCAATGATGTTAATGTCTAACCTCAACCAATCCACGAATTTGCTGAGGAGTCGCACAATAGAACGAAACGGCCGTCCAGTGCTTCCAGGTTTTCAAAGGTGGTCTAACATCAATCGGTTCATGGTCTCAATCAAAAACTTAATAATCTATACAACCCCTATACTAGGAATAAATATTTATCATATAATTATTTAATGACTGTGTTATTTCAGTATAAATATTCTACGTGATTTACAGCTTATCATCTAATTATATTTCACCTAAATATTATAGTAATTATTAGATAGGTGAGAAATTATAGAAAAGTGTTGAATGACAGTTTACTGAAGGTGTAAACATATATATATATATACGTATATATATAATTTGTTCTATAATGTACATTGGACAACAGCTATATACAAATTAGTAAACAGATTAATATGGAGTGAAAATACAGATAGAAAAGGAAACAACTTTGTAGATGTAGTTATATACCATCCGTTATATATATATATAGGTTTATTGCTCTTCATTAAATTGCAATAAATGATAAAGACATTTTGAAAAATGAGGTTCATATTCATACATCATTTTTTAAAAAATAATTAAGGTAACATGAAACCACAATAAAAAGAATATATTGTAAGGTATGTTTCAATATGTACATATATAAAAATTTTTTAATAAAAATAAACGTATTTCATTAAAATCACTAGTCGATCAATGTTAGACCACCAGTGAAAACCTGGATGCTTTGAATGGCCGTTTCGTCTTGATCAGGAACCCCTCAGCAGTGCACATCCACGATTCCGCAGGTGGGATTCGAACCCAGGACTTTCGGTCAAACATACGGGCGCCTAATGTCTAAGTCACTGGGACGACATATGGTGATATTAATGTTTAACTTTAATCCATCCGCCATATTGAGCGACCATCTACAGTCCTGTTCAGTGGGTAACTGTCTCACACTCGTAGTAGCTGAACTCCACCACGAGGTTATAATCAACGGTTCAAAATCCGACTGAAATCTATTCGTGATATATTGAAATTTAATTATTTAAATCTTAAATAATTTTTTAATTTAATTGAAATAAGGGTTATACTAAACTATTTTGTTTTATTGAAAAAAAATTAAAAATAAGAACCGATTAAGATATAGACTTCACAATTTATCATCATCCGTTTGCTATTCATCCTTTTGATGTCTGCTTCAGTGTGTTTTTGTTTATAAAAACCTGTAATCTTTTGATAATGGTCATAGTCGTTCTCCAAGATTCAGCTCCACGCAGCAGAACTGTCTTGATGTTCGTATTGGAGATTCTGATTTTGACGTTGGTTGACAGTTATTTTTGGTTCCATATGTTCCTCAATTGTACAAATGATGCTCTTGCTTTGCCAGTCCTCACCTTTACGTCTGCATAGGATCTTTATCCTTCATCGATGATACATTCCAGGTACCTAAAAGTTTTCACCTCTTCCAGGGCTTCTCCATCAAGTGTGGTTGGGTTGGTGCTCTCCTCGATGTATTTGAGGATCTTGCATTTTCCCTTGTATATGTTGAGGCCTGCATGTATATATATTAGTATTTTTGAATCAAGAATATTTCCAAGACATTCACGTAGTGAGCAATGATAATTATTTAATTGGTTATTTTATATTGGGACTGTTTTTTTCAGTATTATTATTACTAATACTTGTTATATAGTCTTTGTACTGTACTTTTGAAAAAACTAATTTCACATTGAGTAAAGCGTTTCTGTGTAAATTTTTATTTTATTACGTAAACTTTGGGCATTTATTCACTCATTCAGATATCAGGCGTAGGAGGGACTATAATTTATGGACGAATCAATCACCTATAAGATAACGAGTCTTGAGTTTTGGCGCAAAATTCAGTCATCCATTCGGCTAAATAATGTCTCGGTATTTAAGTTGATGTCAGTTCGTGATGAAAACACTAAATCTAATTCCTAACGATAACTATCAACTACAAATCATAATTCTAATACCTCACACTGGATTATAACGCTCGTTTAATTCTAGTTCATAAGTGAACATCCTCATGGTCATTTTAACGTGGCTCAAAGGTCGTCCATAAATTATAGGATCATCTTATTTTACACTCCCAACTACTTTAATAACTGAAAGTAATGTTCAAATTCCAAAAATGAACTTCATGCTGTAATAGCCTTCTATATGAAGTTATTCCAGGTATTTAGAACAACATATATAAGTGAAAAAAATTTTGATTTCAGATATTGGTAATGAATGAGAAAACGAACTTTTTCTAATCACTTAAAAAAAAGAAATATGATTTCCGTGAGGGTACAAAGTTGTATCCTAAGCAGAAAATCTGATGATTTCAACATTATCCAACTTAAAAAGTTTAATCAGTTTTTGATTATTATAGACTTTGATACAGTTGATAAGTAAATTATTTTTTAATTCAGTTGATGTATTCACGTCTATTAACGGACAATGGAATCAATCTTCAAGGTTAGCTATGAAATAATACTGTGGTGTGTGCTACTTATACGGACAGATATAAGTAGCATGTATCAGAAATTAGAAGTAGGATTCCTACTGACAGAAGGAATCAAACAGTAGCAATCGGGGTGGTAACAGGAATGGAAAGACGATGGAGTTTGTAAGAGACAATTCAAGGAAAAAGTGTAAATGTTGTATCAATGTATTATTTTCATATTTTACAAATCAGTATATGATTTTGAATAATACAATTAATAGATCTTCCTCTGACGTAGTCTTCGTTCATCACAGATTAACAGTGACCATGAAACAATTGGGAACTACGATATATCGAATTATGGTTTTGTTCTGATAGGAAATTTAGTAATTGAAGTCAGAAATTGTTGACTATCAGGTTTAAGAATTGATATTTAATGGTATTTTGGTTATTATCAGAAAGAGTTTTGTGGAGATTTTAGAAATTTCACTGTTTGAAATCATGAGTCGATTGAAGCTAGAACACCATGGAAAAACTGGAAGAACTGGACGACCATTTCGTTCTAGTATGGGACTCCTCAGTAGTGCGCATCCATGATCCCGCCCTCGCCCCGAGAGATTCGAACCCAGGATTTATCAGTCTCGCGCCAGGCCCTTAACCAACTAGACCACTGAGCTGGCTGCCATTCAACAGTGTTAATGTCTAACTTCAACCAATTCACGAAGTTGTGCCACCGTACACCATTGTCTTCGGTGAGTTGATATCTCACAACAGACTTGGTTGAACTCAACTGGTAACGGCTTCTCACTAGAACTCCAGGAGTATCTCTTGAAGTCAGTCACTAGCGAGCAGATGATTATTATCAGAAAGAGTCTTGTGGAGATTTTAGATATTATGAGTCATGATTTCAAACAGTGAAATTTTGGTTATCGATTAACTTAAAATTCCTGTGTTCTAGCCTATAAAGTATTATATATGTTTGTTGTTGTGGTTTATTTTAAACAAATCTGGCATAACAATTGAGTATTTGTTAATTTTTATTTGTTCTTAAGCTAATTATCAATCTATGAAGAATACAGTGTATAAATAAATTTTTCTTTCATTCAAACATTACACAATAATTCAATTGATTTCAAATTTACCACCATCACAACCACCACCACCACCACCACCAGCAACAACAACAACAACAAGAACAACAAAAACAAACAAAGTAAGAGAATAATGAATACACCATCAGGGATAAACTATTTAAAAAATGGCAATACTTTTTTAAACTCTATTTACGGTTCAACAAATAATTCTTTCATTCATTCAGATCAAACAATAATTGATTCTTATATGAAACCAAATAGTCTATCAAAATCGGTTCAACGTTTTTGTGATTTTCATGAATTTAATAATCCTAAAGGATATTTTAATGTTTCTAATAATTATCTATTAAATAATAATAATAATAATAATAATAATAATAATAATAATAATAATAATAATAATCATTCAATTGAACATAGAAATTCCTTAACATCCATGGTTAAAAGTGTAATAATGAATGTACCAAATGATAATTTATGCCTTTTAACAACCAATGAGGATAATCAATTAAAAAATAATATTAATAAATGGGAAATTGATTGTAATTATAATTTAAAGGATTATCATAATAAAACTGATTCAATATACAATTATAAAACAACAATAACCAATGATCATAGTAAGTTATTATTGATTAATCTTATTTGGGATACAATTGAAAATCAAAGAAGAAGAAGAAGAATAAACCGATTAAATCTTAGTAAGGAAATTGTAAACGGATTGTATTCATTATCATATTAGGAATTGATTTCAGAACTTTAAGGTAATATGATGAATACTTAAAGATTAGAATAGTTAAGGAGATATCAAATGTTCCCAAGATGAATATCTTTACGGTTGTATTATTTTTGATTTATTGTTAAGTCAATATTTCGATGTTTATAAATATAGGAAGTTATAACGTTAGGTGATTGGAAATAATCGACAGGAAATTCTGGACCCAGGTTTCCTGATAACTGCTATTCTGTGTTAATTTAGTTAAGCTTGTGCATGAAATCATTCGTATTATTTACATGTATTTGAGATATGATTTAAATGTACATAACTATATGTAGAACGACTTGTTACGTGTGAATAGTTAATTGGAGTTAGGAAAACAAACTGACCAACTTAATGGTATCACGATAATGAAAAGACGAGAGGCTATAAGCTTCAGTTATGTGAATAGCTTATATTCCTAAGAATATATCATAACAGCAACCAATTATTCAGTTATCATTGATCGCTGATAATTTTCAAACTAGTCAATTATGAATAGAACAGCTGGATTTGATAATCGGTAACATAGTTTATTCGTTTATAATGCTTTTAGCAGTATTTTCATTTGGAGTTGAAATTCAGTTAACTAATTAAAGTCATTCCGTGACGCAGACTATGAAACGCAGCAATCACAATAAAGCCACTATTCTAGTAACAATACCGTGCTCACTAGTGAATTTTTCGAAGGGTAATACCTGGATTTCTAGTGAGTACTCATGATCAGTGGATTCAACCACTTCGGAAGTAAGACAGTTATTTACTACTGGCATTTGATGATGAGTGTATAATATTGTGAACTGACTGAAGTTAAAAATATAAGCAATAGAGTACCAATAAAGTGGTGTAAAGGCTAAATATTCGTTGCAATACCTGAATGTCTCGATTCCGATCCCCTATGCAACCATGTATGTGTACTGCCAAGAGGTTTCATAAGAGAAGACAATAACTGTCCGATTCTTCCTAGTTTCCAATAGTTGTCTAAATAAGGTGATTGGGTGATACAAACTTCAAGACTACCAATTAGTTAGACTATAAATATATACATTTACATTTAAATATAAGAAGTAATATACATTCTTGGCCATTGATCATCTTTCAATAAATGATATTTTTCAGTACTAAGATAACTTGTATATCATACTTTAACAAAAGAAAGATATTTAAAATGAATCATCATTGATAAAAAATTCTGTTACTGTTCTTGCGGTTATACTGTCACATCGATATCAATCTATTCATGTGGTTGTTTGTTCGAGTTTTAAAAGTATAAATTCAGTGATTGATTGAGTTTTTAAAAGTTTACTAGTTATAGCTCTTTACAAAACTTTAGATAGATAATCCATTAGATTAAATGTATTTGATGACATTCCTATCATATTCTACATGTGTTTATGAAGTTATTTATTTATTGGAACACACAAATATTGGTACAAAGGGGCAAAAAATACCTATGCGCCACACAGTAACAACGTGGCTAGCAGTAGTCATTATCGATTTATGTGAGGGCTGTGGTAGTGACCGGGTGCCCAAACCGAAGCAGGTGTTTTCCATAGGGGGCTGCACTCAGAGCCTATTACTTAAAGGTTTAATCCACAAGGCAGTGGAGTAACGTTAGAAGATGCAGTACCATGGTAGCCGGTGACTAACAATAGGTTTTTACGCCACTAGTTACCTAAGAATCCTGGAGTCCATGTGCACCATTTATTTGGAACCAGGGTTTTCCAACTCCCCTCCGTGTCCACCAATCCATTTAAAGCACCGGATATTCACTTTTCGTACTCTCGATTTCGTAAGCAACAGCCCCACCGTGAGAAGGCAGTGAGTAGGACTTCCATGACAGTGGCTGTATACACGTAGCCATGTGAGTGCATTTGTAGAGGAAGAGTCGACTCTCCCCAGAGATTTTACCGTGCATATTTCAACAAATTTATTTCCCAGTAAAAATATACATTATAAATTTCAACCAAGGATTCAGAATCTTCAATATGGAATTAGTAAATTTACCAGTACTATAAAGATTTTGATGTTTGCTATTTGATAACGGTAACATTTAAATTAGGGACTAGAAAAACTTGTTTTAATATGTGAAAAACATCTACATAGATCATTTCCATTCAATGTTTCTTTTTAAAAGTCGGTCAATCTAGAAGAAAATCAAGGAAACCTTATTCAAGAAATCAAATAATGATATTAGAAAAAGAATATGCATTAATGCCATATGTTACTCGTCAAAGAAGGTGGGAAATTTCCAATAAATTACAATTAAGTGAAAGACAAGTGAGATTATGTTACAAAATTTATCAAATGTATATTATTTATATATTTACATTAATTATACATTTTTGTAGTTTTATAGAATGAATTGAATAAAGCTAGAAGCACTAGTTAGTCAGGAAGCACTAGACAGCTGCTTAATCTTATTATGAGACTCTTCAGCAGTGAGTATTCAAGGATTGAACTCATGATCTTCAGCTCTTGTAGTCTGTATAGTTCATAAATTAATATCAACTAATAAACACAAGATATCATTTCTTTTGATATGTGAACAAGAAGTATTTATTACAGAACAATCTATAGTAAAACTATTTCCTTCATAGATAGTTTTTCAATTACTGACTTTTATGGTTAGTCTTATGAATGTCTTTTGTATGAAATCATCAAATTTACTTTGAAATTAAATGACAGTTGTGTATGATTTAAACACACAGAACTAAGACAACGTATACAGCGATAAAAAAATGGTGAGATTTGAGTAGTAGTTAGGTTTTGGAAAAAAATATTTATTTAGGATTCCATATCGATAGTTAAATGACAACTGGTTTAAATCTTTTCTCATTCAATATTTTCTAAATTAACAACATTCACTAGTAGTAAAATTGATCAAAACAAGGATACATCAGATTTATTATAACAAACTGTTTTATTCATTTTCCAGTCAACAGCTATAGACAACAGATTTATTTCATTTAATTTGAAACTTTAATGGATATTACACTGAATGCTTGTGATGTTGATTTCTCAGAAGATTTTTAAATTCGTACAACCTTCGACAGTTGAACTCTAAAAACAATAAGATGATGAAAATATAAAAAGCTTTAATTATGTTGTTATTTGTTTTTTTAAAACAACTGAAAGTTTCTAAAATAGTATTACGATTAGTAATAAGTTCACCAATCAGATCATCCAAGAACAAACATGATTCAACATCTAAGGAACTTCCTAGAACATTAAAAGTTCGAATAGCATAGGGACTGTTATTCACTGTGAGCAATAAGTGAATTTATTAGAGCAAGGAGGTTGTGATGTATTGCTAAATGTACGCGTAAATACTACAAGTATCGAACATAATTTCGACACTTGTAGACAATTGCTTTGGATGGTGAAAAAAGAATCCAATTGAATGACAACGACTGATCTACAAATGTTTACATTTCTTGTGGTTAACAGATGAGCTCTCACAATCTCAATGAGCATTGGTTGCAATTGCATGACGCCATGAAAATGGCGGGAACAGTCAGTTGTGGGTTTGCGAAACGTCCTTTGATGTCTGCCTCGGATTCTCGGCGCAATGTGTTCTTTGGTCAAACTCTAAAATTCATAGATGCAAAACTATATCATGCAGTACATAATAGATTTAGATAGGTATATACTACATTTCGGGGGTAAATTGATACATATGAAACTACTTGTGAATCAATAGCTTAATGAATTCAAACGGAATTACGTGTATACTCGATTACTAAACAATCTCCAGAGTTGTACTCTTACCATGTCTTTTTTAATAATAAAAGTTTCTGTAGCAATCTGGAAGACTTTCCTGGTCTTCCACATTGTATGAACATTCCATGTACCTAAATTAATGGTTGCTCTGGTTGTTAGAAGGGACATCAGCCTCGTGACTTCCGAAGGAACTCGATTTTCACCACCAGGTGTCATAACTCTTCTAAATGAAGACCTTCTAACTCCCAGGGCAGAGTTTAAGTGGTTTGAATTATTTTTTCTGGTTAGCGTTTTTTAGCGAGTTAGTTTCCTATGGGATGTGGTCGCTAACCCCAAGTCCAACCCTCCACCTTTATCCGGACATGGGACCGGCAGTAACTCAAGAGGGGCTCCAGGCAAAGTTCTACCCATAAAGTACAATAATCACAATTTAAAGTTTGTTTAATGGTAATTTATGTGATTTATTTTTTCTTACATATAATCAAGGTAAAAGTATGGTTTCAAAATCGTAGAATGAAAACAAAAAAATCGAAAACTCTATCATATTCCAACGATGAAAAAACTTTACAACAAAATGATGACAATAGTAAAATGAATTTTAGTGAACTACAATATTCAACGTTATTTGATAAACAAAAATTTATCAAAACAACTAATCAATGGAATGATAATATCTCTACAAATTCTGTTACATCATGTATCCTTGATTATGATTCTTTTGTTAATATTACTTAAAAATATAATTGAATTTAACAACAACAACAACAAAATCACCTTCAAAATTATTATTGTTCCTGATGGTGATTATGATAAACACACCAAGATCATCACGTTGAAATCAATGACTATTAACAAACTAAAGAAAAAATAGTCCAATAAACCACTGAACATTTAAGTCAAAAAATTATTCATCTTTAAAACTTCAATATATTTTTTTACATTCTTGTAACTACGTAATAAATAACAAAATACTTTAGTCTCTTGATACAATACAACAATGAAAGCACGAATAGATTATAAAATTGTACACCATTGTTCATTATTTGTAATGATAATAGTAGTTTAAAAGAAAACATAACAAGAATGAAAATTTTCCATGGAAATTCAAAGTGGTATCATTAAAGTGAAGTCACTATGTCTGTTCAGCTATTGGAGTTCAAATTACTCGTCTATTGTAATGTAAAAGAAAACATTTGAGATCCATAGCAATTCATTACTGACCAAATATTTCAGATGATGAATTCTCTAAATATATAATAACAATAATAATATTATTATTATGAACCAGTTGATAGTATTGCTTGTGTACTAAACAGTTCTCAATTTCTAAGTGAGAAACAATGTTGCTTTATACTTATTTTTTTGTATAATAAATATGATGTAAACATATTGAATAATAATGACAATTATCGTAATGTATAATTCGAATAAATTAGTGATTTGTATTACTCTCATTCTCTCTCCATCATCATTCTACTGATCTAAAAATAAACTTATAAGGATATTTACAAGAAAACACTCGGTTAAAACAATATCGTATGGTTATATATTGATGTTAATGAAGAACTAAGAAAAAGAGGTATTCAATATGATAGAAAAAAAGAACTCGATCATTTGGATAAGACCCAATAGAAGTTAAAAGGTGACACTAAATTCAACGGAATAATATGTGTTATTGATAAGTGGTTTACTAGAAATTAATTCCATCGATACGTGTGATGAGATACAGTTCAAAATCTTGATTTCGGTTGTGCCATTTCAAAATTTGTTAAATGTTTGCGGATAATATCGATTCGCAATTTTTTAGGTGTCCTGAATACTTTAGAGACTCAAGAAAACTGCTTTGCCATTGAGTCTACTTCTGTTTGTTACACAATAACTCCAATCTTAACATTTGTTTGTCAGAGCACATCAAATCTTTTGGCTTATCTAATACTATAACAAGTATGTCTTTGTTAATCTTGGCACTAAATTTGTACATGGTGAATAACAAGCCTTGTACAGTCCCCACCTGTTTAGATCAGATTATTTGTATCAAACAGATAGTTCATCTACTTTCTTTAATTTCACCGTTTATTGAAAAGAATCAGTTATTACATATATGAATCCCATTGGTTTTATTTAAAGAATTTTCACAACACCAAACATTCCGCAATTAGGATTCCACTACATAGTTCATGATTGGCTACCGTATTAACGATAACATATTGAATACTTAAAGTTTTTAAAAATCTGGACGTTATTGTTAAGTATTTTGAGTATATCCTGTATACAAGTTTTACCGTATATAACAATTAACTTAGAGCATAAATGAGTTATTCGACAGAAAGTGACGGATAAACGCCTTCACATTTGCAATAAAGTCAGATACACTGAACAATGGAAGAGATTTAATAACTCAAAATGCCTTGTTCAACCTTAATCGCGAAGTTCGACAAAGCTATACAACTCACTTCTGGTTTCATCATCTTTTCACATCATGAAATATGTTCGTATTTTCAAGTGCCATCATAACTATTTATTGATAGTATTAACACATGAAAGTTGACTCATCTTGAACGGATAAATATTTAAACGATTCAAAAATTAGTGAAGTGCCAAATCATGAATACTGGGAAATTCACTAATACCCTCACTATTATGTGAAAACAATTAATTAATCAATATGCAAACTAATCGGGTATTATAATTTATGAACGTTAAGAAAAATAATTCATGATAATCCTATTTATCTTGAACCTATGATCAAAGTATGTAGACGTGAACAATTCCCATCGAAGGGTTCACTTTACTTAGTTGAAAAAAGCTTTCAATAATTATATATTTTGACCAATATCTGATAACGTCTTATGTACTATGTTGCACCATCTCCATGACTCCAAACAGAAATCAGTCATGTATAACTTCCTTTTATACCACGACATGCGCTGACCACCTCTCCGCTTTCCCCAACTATTCCCGGCGTTGATAAGTAAGGTACGATGTGGAATTAGCTGAGACGACATTCGTAGTATATAACCAACCACCGAAGCCGGCATTTCAAAATGTTGACACCAATCGAATTATTGTCAGTGCTCGAACATACATTGCCAAACTTCTGCATAATAACCTGGTGTTGCCACTGTCAGCGATCCTTCAAAGACAACGATAATCAAACACAGAGTCGCTCACCACTCTGAACTCGGAGGTCAGGTTAGAGCAAGACTGCTCTAACCGATGCATTGTAAATCTGACCTTTTACAGCCAGGGTAACATCATAAAGGCGTCAAGGATGAACGAGATTGGCATAGGTAGCTCTGGTTTTCGTTGTAAATTCACCTCTTCAACAACACCATCACCAGGACTTAAATACCTATCCAAATAAATGAACTCGACTACTCCTAACTGCTCACTAGCAAGAATGAGTGCAAACACAACCTCCTACTAATCTTGTAAAAGTACTTTGGATGTAGGTGTAAAGCACACGCTATACCTTTGAACACTAGCTGCTAAATCAACAAGTGCGTATTGTATAGCTTGAATATGGTCTGGAGTGATTATTATGTAAACCTTAGACAGTTACTTATCTCAGATTAAGAAATCACAATAGGGTTTGATCCAATCTTTTACATAGCCTTCAAGTGGAATTGGCAAACATTTGGTCCACCCACTAAAACAAGACAGAAAGTCGATAAGTAATTACTGAATCACTCGGTTACATTTACTAACAAAGTGCACAACACCCTATTTCATTATGTATATTTATTATTGATTAGTTCTTCAGAGAAAATTCGGCAAGTTATTTACACCTGACTACCAGTATATGCCAGAAATATCTTGAAAACAGTATCATTAGATGCCGATGCATTAAGATTTAATTCATTGTTGGTTTCATTATTCTGGTTTGCTTATAATCACATACAAAACTTAATAAAGCGTACGTAACACTAAATTTCCAACTTGCAACACCATTATCTGTTAAGACAACCAATGTATTGTACGTAATTTGAAAATAATAAACTCATAGATATAAGATAAATGTACTCAACACAATAATATGAAGTTGTAAAATAAGCTATGTACGTATGATTCCTCTATCAAATATAAACATTCTTTACATGATCTCAACGTTTTAAGGATAACGGTAGCAGTACATAACGCTGTTGACCACATTTGGTTTGAAACCTTCGTGTTCACCAATTGCAGAGCAGAAAAAGACCTACTAGAGCGTTGTTTACTTTACGTTTTATAACCAACAATTATTTCTAACTACGCTTTACGAATCCGTTTGCACTATTTAAATGAACGAATTTTTCAACTTGTTCCAATACGTCCAAGAACACTGTATGAGTAAATTATATCAATCATGAAAAACTACTTTTCAAGATGTAAAAATTTGATTATAAATTATAATGTCAGTTTAAATTAGGATTATTATCATGAAAATTGCAACAACAAAAAATAAAAAATATTTCTTTAAACATTAGCCAAGGTAATCTAGTAAAGAGATGAATGATCTGATGCTATTGAAAAATTTCAATAATTTGTATTTAAGTTTCCATTCTTTTATCCATTGGATTATTTTCTGTTTTTCAATTTCTCTTGCTTTAATCACACTTTGAGGATCAGCCGGGTTAGGAGTTCTCAAATCTAAATGATGAGCAGCATCAGAGATATTAATGACTGTAGCAAATGGGACATAACTATTATTTGTAATTGATAATGCTGACCATGGATCAATTTCACCATTGCTAGAAATAAGATAAGAAGAAACATATCCATTAATTTATTAAAGAATTTAAATACCCTATCGTAAACAAATAGACTACTTAATTGAAGCGGAATACAAAAGTATTGACATAGTTTTTAACATTAAGAAAATAGTACATTCAACTTCAAACTGAACGTAGAAAATGTACGTTATGAGGCGTAAAACTTATTAATGAAAAGCTATGATGATGAGGCTCATCAAACTGATATACGTACATTAGGCTTAAGACAATAAAGGAAGAAGTTTTGAATCAAGTGTCTAGACTAGTGAGATAGTCTTACAATGCAGAAATAAAGTTTTAAGGAGTACACAGAGAATTGACACAGTAATTTAGGCAATTCATCTTCAATAATCTAAACATGGAGTAATGTTTAAGTGACACTGTCATATATTCGCGTGCAAAATAGCCAGTTATTACTATCATGTATTGAAAAAAATAGACATACGAACCGCAACCTAGATAATGCAATTACCAAACACATTTTCAAATGATTGCTGACAATAAATAATAATGTTGGAAATGTCTTTTTAAGGTAAACAAAAACTTTGGCAGGTTGGAACGGTTAGATGACTAAAAGACAACTACTGACAAAAGATATTAAATTACATGTGAACAACATAAAAACATTGTCTCATGTGTTGAATTAAAGAAATCGTACACACCTGCATACGTATACATAGAAAGATCTATATATTTTTAACATATTTTTAAGCTAACAACACTGAATTGCTGACTGACCCTTTAAGAATTCCAATATTATTAGTCAACTGAGTCTGAACCAAGTAACGTGATAGCAACAAATTTAAATCTTACTTCAATATGACTTGATGTACAAATTTTAATAACAGGTCCATTGGTCTAGGTAAATTTCTAGATTAAATACTGAGATTACTAAATGTATGCCCGGTAAGACTGGAGAAAGACATCAACATCATAAGAAACACGTTTGTTGGTGAGTGTTGATGTGAAGCAATCACGAAGCACAGGTTTATAGACTCGACTTTGGCTTATATATTTTGACGAGGGCTAGTGAAGTTAGTCTCTTGTGGAAATGGAAATACCTGGAATACGTTCCAAACTTTTAACCTGGTAGTTTAAATTTAGATGCTTTGTTTATCATAATTAAATTGCTGATCTAATCCTTAATGTTGCGAAAGTTCCTTCATTTCTTTCCCATGTAAGCGTCATGACTCCAGATAATTCAAATGTTATACCAAATGTTCACTTACAGACAGGTTTTACATGTAAAATTGTTACTAAAAGATTATTTCTGGTTCTATATAAAAAAAGTTACTCTTTAGAAAAAATAACAAAGACGTTTTATTTTTTACCTGAAAATTATGTTGGTAATAGTATGTACTGATTTACTCCAAAATTCAACTTTTGGCCATTCAACGCGTGGACTTACACCAAATCGATTTTGACAAGAGATTGAGAAAGATTTAAGATCCCAATTTAATGGAGGCATGATGTTTACCGGCCCTGATGCACACATAGGTGTTGTCATCTCCATGCAAGTCTACAAGATAAGATAATAGTGCCCATTATAATCTTAGATTTAAAAAATATTATTTCGACAAGAATAGCATTTACAGAAGATTGACCGTCAGCTATAAATAACGTTGAAAATAACACAGATGAGTAACAACCCACTTCACACTATTAAATCCAGAGAGGGGGTTAACAAGGTCAGAAGGGGAGAGAAAATAATATTATTCACTAAAACGGAAGCATGAAAAATATAGTTAAAAGTGAATTCAATTTAGGTATAGATGAGACTATATCACTAAGTCAGATCGTGTGCCATATGAACACTTAAAACTTTTGTTCCAGTATTGGACATCCAGGTAGGCTGTGCGTAATTATATATGACACATGTTTCAGCCAACTAAGTTGATGAAGGTTTATACGGTGGTCATCAAAACAACATAAGTAGAATGTTTGAGGACAATCAAGTCAATCTTTCCATTGTGGTATCTAACATTTTTAATATCCAAACACTGCATACCCATTTAACATTGCTTTGTGCTTTCACTTCAAGTGAAAGACTAGTATTAAAACCTCCTACGTACTTTTTAAACATTACTTATATTTTTAGTATTAAATCATAAACTTTGAGAGAAGTGGAGAACGCAATGCTTTTTACTATATCCTGACAAAGACGAAAAGAAAATTAGAAATGTGGAAGTCGAATAATTGAACTTAACTGAATTGCGTAATGTAATTTGTAGGATCTTTGGATAGACAAATGTTTTATGACAATGTTATGTAGCCCTTACTGTAAGCTTTCTTTTGATTTTTTCGATGTTAATTAGATTCATTGTTATACAAAAGTAACTTATTTAACTATTAATATGCGAAAAAGCTAAGTTGTATCTTTCTTACAATTTATTCTGTATATAGTGGAGTTGATTGATTAGATTAGAAAATTATAGGTATAACTAACTGTTGATATACGTACTATGAAATCCAAGTACTTTTGACAAGGAGGATTTAAACAATATAGACTGAATAATTCTCATGCCATGACTATCTTGACTAACTTATTACAGTAAATCTTATCGCTTTATATTCACCTTTTGTTATTGTAATCGGTCGAAATAGTATAACTATTGCATTAATCGTGCATTCAAAGATACTTTTTTCCTAAATGAAATAATAAATCAAAGTTCAATGTAGGCAGAGTAATCACGTTTTTTAGATGAATCCTAATCTATAGATAACCATATTCAATGAACTATGATTTCAGATAGAATTCAAAGGTAACGACTATCAACATTTATTGTAAGATATAATTATTCTCGTGATTATATACTTATTTAATAATATTCAGTATTTGATTTTAATCTGATAAGTTATCGAGTTTTACAAATTCTTGATACGATAATAAAGTTGAAATTGTTTTATTAGTTCATTTCAAATAAATTAAAATATGGAATAGATAAATTATGGGTTAACAGGAGTGTGAACTCAGTATCCAATTAAAAGTGATTTGACTTTAAAAGATTCTAACCAAAATAATATTGACCAACCAATTCTCTATTCTTAACGCTTCTATTGGTAATCAACATTCTAGTAGTCATGAGATTTTTAAAAATGAACGAAATGTTTTCTGTAGTCAATCTCTCTATATTTTAATGTCAAATAAGGCTTGGATACTGATTAACACTGAAGAAACATTTCATAGTTTTAAAAAAAGATAAATGTACTCCTGATGTGAGTTTTTCGATTATCGCTGAGCTATTACTAATCGGAAAGTTAACATATGAGTAATCATTAAAAAGTAATTAGATAAGATGTAACACTCTCACACACGAAAATGAAGTATCCTGTATTAAAACAAAGTAAATATCAATGGGACTAACTTGTAGATCCCATCCAGTAGTGTCCAGACTTGGCGAACTCGTTGAAATGTCTAAACACGTTTGATTCCCAGTATAATTTGTCAGTGATAGTATAGCCTTGGCTAATAAAGATATTCTGGTTACCACAGGTTGTTGAGGGTCGTATGCAGATAAATTGGTACACAAATACTGGATTAATGAAGAAAACCCAAGTGAAAAATCTGTTACCAGTGGGAAACGTGGTCATTAAGAGTAGAAGATACGCGTAAGTTACTAGTATTTGACTACAGACGCCTTAGAAAGGTTTTGATAATGAAAAAAATCAAGTAATAAACTTCAACGTTATATTAGTAGGCCTATTCTTTATGGATTCGCTCAAGTTCTAGTTTGTCGGTATCTATCAGAGGAGAATACGAAGAAACAACATTATTACTGAAATTCTTGTCAATTAAAAACGTTTTATAAGTAATTAGTGCTTTAGAAATAAACAGTATGACTGAAAACTCAAACAGCTATAGTGAATCATGTTTAACTACGCAATAAGTATACCCGGTTTTTTAAAATTTGTTATTTGAATAATAAAATTATTGTGAAGAATACATCTTATCCGTTAATAATCCTAAAACAAGATAGTACTTTACTTGAGGTCAATTTATGCACACTTGACCATGTAATATAAACTGCTCCAAAATACAATGTGCCATCAGGGCTAAAACTTTAAAACCATGAGATATTGTCTTTTGAACTATTAAAATTTTTTCGTACGATAATTAACAGTAACGGGTTAGATTTTTACGAGGAAATAGATTCTATGTAGTCTTTTAAATTTTATTTCAGAATGACATACAATAGCGGGTTAAAATTATATGCATCTTTTATGGCTTAAATTAGGTTATAACAAAGTGCATAACATAAAATTTTAATTACAACCGATTTTGTTGATCAAATTACTATTCAACTCTGAAGTCACAGAGAGATGCTATAAGTGTATTTTGATTATATCTTGTACTGACTTTATTACGAAAATTTAATTCACCTTAGCCCCAAATTAACTATCGTAGTATATTTTATGATTTATAACACAAAAAGTTTGGTACATTACACAAAGACGCTAAGAAACATACGATATGAAACAAAATGAAAATATCGTGAACAAATATGAAAGAGGAAATAACACAAATAATCGATATGGAAATAATAGAGTTCAACCAACAGTATAACCAGGATAAATCCCGTATAGTTTGAGTGTCGATAGACATGTATGACACACAATAAATATACCACAAACCTTGACTGGCCATTCAGGTAAAGCAAGCAGAAAGTTGGCTGGGTAAGGATAATTGACCATAGATATCGTTCCCAAAAAATCGGATAAGTAGTCTATGATATTCTGAACATCAGTTAAAGGCGTACAGATGTTAAACATGTGGGTTAATAATTCTTTCCCATCAACTAATAAAAACAAAATAATTGTGAACAGAGAAAAAGAGATTGCTATAGAAACATGTATTTTTAATAAAATTATTAGTCAAATGAAGATACAAAATGAGTTTATTTAATCAACAGAATATCAAAGAGTTGAGACGAGTCCATAAAATCAGTGGCTATCTGTAATCAGTAGCTAAGTGGATAACGCAATGGTGATTGAAGCGAGAGGTACTGGGTTTGAGTCACGGAATGAACATCAACTCTGGGATGTAGATATATCCAGCTGGCTAGTCCCGAACAGCACGAAGTGTGCATCCTGGTTTTCATTGCTAGCCACTATCCATCTTAGCCTAAAGTGTATCTAATATAGTTTAGCAAGAAATGTTAACCAGTTTTTTTATACTCCAAATACATATGGCAAACTAGAAGTGGAATGATAACGCATAAGCGAACATAAGTATTGTGTTACAAGAAGGAAGCACATATGTAGAAAACACTCACTGATTTAATTTAAAAACTGATTATTACTTACTTTTTCTTCTAATTTCGTTGGTACTAGTGTGGTGCGTGCTACTTATATTGATATAAGTAGTATATGACGCGAGTTAAAACGGAATGTCTGGCAGCAGAAGATGAGTAGAAGATCAAGAAAGGAAAAGCGAGAACACAATGGAATTTGTAAGAAAACGCGTGAACAACGGAATGGGAGACAATGGATTGGTGTTTGCAACAGAAACAGTCCAGTTTGATATGATGCATTGATACTTTGCAAATTGACGATTTAATATATGGTATTCAGATTTTATTGAGATAGTCTGTAATTTTCGTGCTAAATACATCCGATTGTCCCCACCCGTGTTCTTGTTCACTACACTAGTTACCATAAAAATACTCGCAATAATATTGTCTTTTCAACTAGCCAGATGACGCTTTAAACGAACCCCTTTACCAACAGTAGCGCGTTACTCAGTCTTAAGCTAAAAAGAGAGGGCATCAACAAAGTCTAGAAACTTAAGTTCATTTACTATTGAAATACAACCAATCATGTGCAATGGAGAACCTAGCAAATATGTGTATCGGTTGAAGTTTTCACACCATATTTGTGCAACGAGATAAAATTATAAAGACAAATCTCATAGTAGTAAAAGTAGTAACACCAGTAGTAATAGAAAGAATTGGGTATAGAAAGAGAATAAAAGTACAGAGTGATTTTAAGACTCAGAATCTAAGATGAGATAAAAACTGGATGCATTTGGGCTATTGTGAACGATTCTGAGCCAGGTCACCCAACGTCTACAATAACTGATTGTGAATGCCGCGTGAACCCCAACCAGGTAGTCTGAACCTGTCCACATAGCTCGGACTAACAGTTAATAAATTCATGGACTAATACCATGTCTTGATGCGGCCACCCCTGTGACCTTCCCGTCTACTTCAACACCAAAAACCATCCCATGTCGAGGCAGGGAATGGTTAAGCATAAGTGATAAATGTTCCAACTTCCTCAATCAATGAAGATTCACTACCTCACCAAAAGACTTGAATTCACCTGGTATCCCGTGTCTGACCCTACCACTTCTCACTCAATGGTCCAGAAATACATGAACAATGCTCTGAAGACACAAATGATTGAATACGAGTAACCCACTATTATCCTGTGTTCTTAATGATCGTTTTACACATTGAACAGAACAGAGCGAGTTGCTGCTCAGCAAACTTGTCCTTTGGATGGTAGATGGATGAAGGATATTTTATTTATTCAGATAAATCCTGGTACAATAAGAGCCACAAAAGAATGTGCGAAGTAAATGAATCAATGAAATTGTAGAAAAATAGGAGACAATGGTAACAATCAGTGAAAATAAACAAAGTATTTAGTAGAAAATACAGTTCAGTTAAAGATACAACACAGAAAGACTTAAGGAGGATTATATCAGTATTATTGTGTGGAACAGGAAAGTACAACGGGATAACCACTAGTTTCCATTCTAAGCGATATGTCATAACATCTCAATCCACCGAGTTGAAACATTTCAAGGACTCTAACCAGGGAATAGTACACCGAATAATATGAAACGGTCGAAAATGGATAGTCCTCTATTTGACTCTCAACACGTAATCAAATGGCCATGTTAATAGCCTCTTTCGGGGAATTTTTACTCATTAGCTTCACGTGGCGAATCTGTTTATACGAGAAAGTGACAAAGAACAAACGTCCGTCTTTGAAACCAAGTCGGTGGATTCGGTGGGTCCACCTAAAGGATTTGGATAATCCCGACTCCAAACGAATAGTGTACATGGGCTCCAGAATCCTGAAGCGACGAGTGGCGCATGAACTTATTTTGGTCACTGGCTATCATGAAAAAATATTTCTTGATAGTACTCAACTGGCTTGTAGACTGTACATTAAAACCAAATGGTTGAGAAGTAGCACCCTAACGAAAGCACCTACTTCGGTTTGGATGCTCTGGACAGTGTACCAGTCAGTCAGTCAGTAACAACGTAGAACTTCGTACGTACGTACGTACGTACGTACATCAGTTCGAGTTGCCACACCACATTAGCACAGATGTGCAGTGGTCGACTCAAATCCCGTAGTGGTAGAGGTAGTAAGAGTATAAGCAGTAATCGGGAAGATTAGGGTTTGGAGATGTTATTTAAAGAGTATAATACAGTGAAATAAATTTGGAAAGAGGAAAAAAGGGACATAAAGAATTCAAAAGATTAGAATTTGGGAGAACACAGAGAGTGGATGCACCTGCGCCATTGCAAATGATTTTGAGCCTTGTCATTTAAGATCTCTAACCATCGGTTGCTATCATCTCGTGGTCCCCAACCAGGTAGTCTACACCTACCAACATGACTCAGTCCACTTGTCAGTGACTTCATGGACTTGTGCCATGTTTTGGTTTGGCCGCCCCTAGCTTTCTTCCAACCTACTCCTATACCACTGGACATAGCACGTCGAGGTAGTCGGTCGTTGGGCATACGTAACACGTGTCCCAGCCATCTCAACTACCATTGTGGGGCGTCTGAATGTGTGTCTGTGTTCTAGAACCTGACGTAGTGTGAACATCTGATCTATACAACCACGTCCAGGTCGAAAACCGGCCTGGTTTTCTCTAATCTGCTCTTCACGAGCTTTGATTAGGCGTCGAAGTATTATTGAAGCTAATATTTTAGACACTATATTAGTCAAACTGATTCCTCTGTGATTGTCACAAGAGGACTTTTTGTTCTTTCTTATAGACTGGCACAATCAGTGATTGAGACAAGTCAGATGGGATTACGTCCAGTCCCCAAATTCTACCTAAGACCTCGGTTAATCTCATTGCTAATACTGGACCACCATCCTTAAAAATCTCAGGAGTAAACCTGTCAGGGCCTGCTGCTCTCCCTCGTTTCAGATTTCCTATGGCTGTTTCAACTTCGTAAAGGGACGGAGGACCTACATTAACTTGCCATTCAGGTTGACTAGAGATCGTGGGAAACCGAAGTGTGGCTGAAGGCCAGTTGAACTGATCCCTAAAGTGTTCTGCCCATCGATCCAATCTCCTAGATTGCGAATGAATAATATGTCCATCTTTCTCTGAGATTGTTTCGCTAACGGTCGGGTTCCTAATACCGGTTTCCTTAACGAGTCTGAACAATTGTCTGCTATTACCTATTGCCGCTGCCTTTTCCATCTCTCTTGCTTTCGCTACCCACCACTGTTCGCGATCATTGCGTAGACTTCTTGTCAGCTTGCGCTTAAGCTGACTCCGCTCTTCATTATGTTCAGAGCCAGGTGGAATGAGTTTCCGAGCATCCATCAGTGCGATAGATGCTGCTGAGATCCAGTGTTGCTCCCTAACCTTCTGGTTTACCTTACTAGCAAATATCACTGCTGTTTCCACAGCTTTTCGGATATCATTCCATGCTGCATCGGGGTGGGCATCACATACATGGCTGCCTAACTGTTTTCCTAGTTGTTCCTGGAATATACTCTTAGCTTGACTATCATTAAGTAGGACCCTAAGAGGTTTCCTTGCAGCGTCTTTCCTACGTCCAGTAAGACGCAAGCAAATACGCGCTCGCACTAGAGCATGATCTGAATCTAGGCATGTGCTCCAGAATGAGCGACAGTCTTCTATCGAGCCCCTCCATCGGTGGCTCATAGCGATGTGATCTATTTGGGTCCAACGTTGGGACGAATTAGGGGGTCGCCATGTTAAAAGATGTTTTTCCTTATGCTTAAAGTTAGTATTTGCAAGGAACAGGCGGTTATCTGAGCATAGCTGCAACAGACGGTCGCCATTATCTGTTCTTTGAGCCATGACACCATAAGATCCACCTAGGTGTCTTTCCCTATCGCTTAGTTTACCTACTTGAGCATTAAAGTCACCGGCCACTATTACTACATCCGAGCGCTTAGCTTTCCAGAGAAGGTCCGGAAGCTTCCTGTAAAACTCATCTTTTACATCATCTGAGCTGGAGTCAGTGGGAGAATAGGCAGAGACGACGAAGAGGCAACGACGAGTGTCCCTATCTTTCCGGATTCCTACTGTTCCGTTCAGTCGGACAGCGCACAAACGACTGTCTACTGGGATCCACTCTAAGAGAGCTAGTTCTGCCCTAGGACTCAATGCTATACCTACGCCGGCGAGGCCACGGGAAGCAGAATCAGGGCTTCCAGATACACGAAGCGTAAATCGAGTCGGTTCTTTATTTTGGCATGGTGAGGTCAAATGAATGACGCTACTTGGATCCTGTATGCGCGTTTCGGAGACGCAGCACACATCGATGGCGCGAGATTCTAAAGTCCTAGCTAAGGAAGCCTGCTGTCCTATTTGGCACAGTGTTCGTACGTTAAAAGCCCCTACATGTAGTTTAGAGCGTGGTTTCAGGAGACCAGGAATAGCGTTCCACGTACTCGAATCGTTTGCCCTAGCGGTGCGAGGTGATAAAGAGACGTGAGGAGGGTTAGTCGGGGAGATAAGAGAGGTATTAGGAGGTGTAGGAAGGATTTGAATGTGACCAACTTGGTCTCGTGTGTTGTTACGGGTATGAGGGCTGATGTCACTTCCCGGCTGCCCATACCGTGGAAGGGTATTTCTTGAAGAACCTGAAAAGGAAATTGGATTAGTGTTGGTCTTAACGACCTGGGGGCGTGACCGCAGAGCCCAAGGGACAACTGCTTGAGGCCGGTCGCGCACGGCCTTTTTGTGGAAGGTTTTTGACGTGTTAGCTCCGTTCTTCAAAGGGCCTTACCGCCGGAGACGGAAACCCGTGAGGTAAGGTGAGGTGTGACATTTTTAGGGTCGACCTTTTCTAACCCCACCCCTCCTTGTGGGAAGGCAGCATCGCTGTCATGCTGGTTGTCCGAGGGAAACACCTTACTGTTGTCACACCTCTCTACAATCAGCAGTATGACTTCGCCTTCGGACCTTGGGTTTGTTGCTTATAGTCTTACCGCTCTTCAGCCGACCTGTCTGACATGGTAGGACCTCGAGGAACGGTTGTTCCAGCCAGTATAGCTCGGTTGCCTCATCACGATAGGCAGGCCCGACCACCAAGTCAAGGTAGCAACAACGGTCGGGGGACAGTGTACCAGTACACACACAAATATCTTGATGAATAATTATGAAGAAACTGTTCTGTTTGCTCTACTTAGTAACCTACGTGAACGGTACGAACATAATGAGTAGAAACAAAGTCCTAATGGCAACTATCCCGAAAAATTAATGAGTCTCAATTGTTTTGCAGTATGGGTTATGCAGTGATTAAAGAATAAATCTATACCAAAATTTCACTTTCAGTTTTATTCGCAGCGCATGATCCCTAGGAAACCTGTTGTTTTCAACAATCGATGAGGTTAGAGATTCGTTTGTTATCACACACAAACATACTTTAATATCACGAAAGTATAAAGTAGTATTTGCCAGATAACATTTTCAGAGACTACTTCTGTAATAGCAGCTAATGTGATGAAAACACTTCAAACAGTGTTTTCGCATAACATGACCTGAAAATTGTGTAGCAAAAAAACGGAAACGAACGATTTCCATTTAAAATATAACGTATCAACCGGGTGTATGTAACAGTAATGTAGTTTTAGGATAAGGGATCAATAAACGTGTTTCAATCACTATATATGTTACATATACATTAAATGTATATTTAATCATAGTAACTGAAAAATGTCCAGTAAACAAAGATCATATAAATAAAGATAAATATTAAATGGACGAAAAGGTTAATATAAGTCAGAATTTTAGAAGGCTTAATAACGATTTAATAAATGTCAGTTCACCTAGATAATTAGGGAAATATAGACAGCTATAGCCATGAATTTTCCAGAACTACCAAAAAAATGAATTAACGCTTTTTAAACAACCTGAAGGGAAGATTGAAACAAGCCCACTAGCTCTTATCGAAACTGAAAAGGAAACTATTAATTTGGATCGATGAGCAGCGGGACCGTGTAAGCCAACTCTAGAGGTCTTTGAGTATAATAACAATCCAGTTTTAACAATTAAGTTGATCAAGGTACTGGCTGAAGTCTGGAAACTGGACACATGACCATTTGACTAGCCTCGATCTCTGCTCGTCCTACTCTACAAAAGTATAGAAATCTCATGACAACCACAAAGGAATCAGTCTAACAAATGTAGTGTCTAAAATAATGACCTCCACAGTTCGACATCTGGTGAAGCTCATAAACGGCAAACCCGAGAAAAAGAAGTCAGTCAAGAACTGGTAGTGAAAATATAGACCAAATCCTGACAATTCGCCAGGTTTTAGGGTATAGAACAACCTCGTTGTCCTGAACTAGTAATGCAACTTGTGTCGTGATCTACGTGGATTATGACTGACTGAGTCGAAGATGCAAGCATATCAAAAAGTGCCTCAAATGTTTACCGGCCCAAGCTGTCACACAATGAAAAGAAAAAAGTCCAGAACGAAATTTATGATGATATTGAAATACTGTCTTCAGGACTTGAAGAAAATAAATATGCCACTGACAAAGAACTGAAGTCGTACTACTCAAAATATTCAACTAATGACCACACTTAACCCAACACACCCCAGTCGGCAAACTTGCACGACTGAAGTCAACAATTAGTGACTTCGTAAACCAATGCCATGTTTTTGTCTGGTTATGCTTGAATAATATGTAATAAGGTAGAACGCTGTATCATATAGTAGTGACATAAATTATGGGGGATGTATAAATCAACTAATAATAAAATCATTTTATTAATTTGCAACAACATTGAATATCATTAGTATTCGTTCACAACTTACTACTTTGACCTATGTCTACAATATTACTCCAGGAAAGTTGTATATTCTTCACACAGTTCTCGCCACCATATTTCAAAAAGCTATTTGTTGCTGTCATACTGAAACCATTGCAGTCAGATAATCCGGGAAACAGCCATACTGGTGCAGAAGAAGCTATAGCACTGTAAGTAGAGTAACAAAAAATAAACGGATTATTGTAAATGTAACTTACAATAAAGATACTTTGGTTATGATTGTTAGATAAACAGAAGTGAGTCAGTCTCAAGTACTCACACCAACATAATGAAAGCAGAAAACCAACAAGATGAACTCTTAAAAATATCATTAAACAGAGTAAAAATCTACAGAATGACATGCTAATGATTTGAGAAAAGGTCGAAAAGTGTAGACGGATTCGCAGCACAAGGATAGATTTTGAGATTCATTACACGAGGCTTTGAAATGACAATTTCCTATATCTGGTGGTCCCTGTCCATGAAAACAACCCAACAGTTATACCATCATGTCCACTTTTTACTTTTCTAATTTACACTTACTCCAGGTAACATAACATTCTGGGATCTATGATCCATTAGTATGCGTAACAGAATCTAGCAATTTCAATTAATGTATTTTGATGAATTCATTGGCCGACTGACTATCCGTGCTTAAAACGAAGCGCAACCTTTGTTTGGCTGTCTCTTTGCCTCCATACAAAAATCTCGAACTAACTATTTCCAAAAGTTAGTTGTGTACTAGCTGTGTGGATTACCTAGCACTAAAAAAGACCATGACGAAAAACTTGCAACAGTTCAAGTAGAAAATGTGAATTTCTAAACAATACAAGCTTACGATATTTGTACACATACAGCAATGAAGGTTTAACAAATCCTAAGATAATAAATACCAACTGTCACACTAGAGTCATCCATTTGATCTCATCACGACAAACGGAGTTAGGAAGGCTAATTAGGTTGTTATTTGAAACTCGGCAGATTGTATCAATATTACTACAAGTCAATCTGCGTGAAGAAAATGGGGGAGAGGTGATAACATAGTTATTAATGCTTTGACCTACAAAAGAAACATAAACATGCTATGAACAAAGACAGGATGAAACTACACAGTAAACTTATTAGGAATGTCGCCATGAAAACACCTTACACTATTTTCTCAGCAACGTCTAAAATTTATTGAGCATTTAATAGCAGTTGAATATTGTTTCACAACGATTTGTGATTTCTGAACATACAGATTTTTCGTGTACTTTGGATAGAACGTAAAGTTTTATTCATCCAAAGAATATGACTATAATTGTACTATCAATAAATCAACTGCTCTTATTGTTCAGTGAATGTAATAGATCAATAAAATCAGTTATGCAATCAACAATTACTAGATATCATATTGTTTTGCAGCAACAGCTTATCATAACTGCACCTATCACTTCAATGGTCAAATCTTAGTTATAAACTTACTTCTTAATCACAACAAGTATCACCAATGAGTCATATTTCTCAATGAATTTAAGCACTGAGAGCAAAAATGAATGTATTGGACTGCAAACAACTCTTTATAATAAGTGAAAAACAATCTGTCAAAATACACCTTTAACTACCCGGCAATTTGATTAGGGTACTTTTGTCTGATCCAAGCAGAGAGCATACCGCCATAGGATCCTCCGAAAGCGATTACAGGTGATGAAGCAAAGCATGAATAATTAGCTTTTAGTTGATTAATTAGAAGTACATAATCAGCCAACGCTTGTTCTGCAGTTAGGTAACCAAAGTGCTGACGGTCCTTTGGAATTAAAAAAAACACGGTTCTGATATCAACAAATTCCAAGCAAAGTATTGAGAAATTAGTTAACTCTCGATATATTAAGGGTGTACAGCAAGACATAAGTAAAATCAAGAAGTAAACGGAAGGAATGAAATGTTATAAACAGCTTAGTTTCGAGTAAAAATTGTTTAGCTAGATAGGAACCATTTATGTCACAAATCCATACAGAATTTTAATGTTTAAATACCCCATGAAGGCGCAGAAAGCAAAATCTTGAGAGTAGATCAAGAAGACTGTTTACTAGTTTTTGTCAGCCTAAGTCAGCATCCAGACGTTGTCAATTAGGAAAGTCTAAGGCGCAGTGGGTAAAGATACAATATTTTAAAAGTAGCTGAAGAGCCTGCAGCTGTAAGTTCTTAAGCCCATAAAACTACTTTACCGTTAAGATATCATGGTAAGTATTCTGAAAAACTGTCAAGATACCACTGAAAAACAACTTTTTGCACAATGATCAAATTTTAAAAACACAACTAAATGCAACCATAAGTAAGAGGGTTCCCTAGGAAAATGGCCATGAACAAAGAGTACTATGCGAGATAACAAATGACACACTATTAAAACTCACTTTGAAAGAATTATTCCCGAATGGGAGAGAGGTTCCGTAATACCGGTGTTCGGCAAAAACAACAGAAGCATTAAGTTCTTGAGAAAGCTTCCAGATAAACCCCTAAATTGTAAAAATTATAGAAGTTAGAGTCATCAAAATTATAGTGCTCAAGCAATTACTGAGTTTTCTGCAAATATTTCTATGGCACCTTCATTTCCTGTGTAAAAAAATATCGGGCCACCCGGAGTGAACGATTCGTTGTTAATTAGATACTTGATAAAGAACTTGTCATCATTTACGAAAGAAAAGTGATCAACCTAAATTATTGAGAATTTTATACTGCTTGTGTGAATAAGTACCCTGGTCCAAAAGTATCTTGTTTCATATGTGAACTCCGGATTCTTGATGGTTGACCACGGAAAGTGTCTAGTTACGAAACCGAACGACAAAGGTAATAAACAATTAAGAATCAAAGCCGGTATCATATTTTAACCTTGTGGAGGTTCGCGTCTAGCCAGAATATACTTTGTATACTAGGGTAGCATACAGTAGCGTAAGGAAGACTAGTAAAGAGAAAAAAGAAAAGGTGGATCGACGATCCAGGAAGCGCACACAAAGCACGTATAGTTAATGACAGTATCAATCTACAACAATCAGAACCAACACCAGACTCAGACTAAGACAATCTCGGAATGGGAATGAGAAGCATATGGCCTAACCCGCTAAAACCTTACAAATCACAAACCGCGCTAGAACACAATGAGAGGATAGTCAGCGCATTTCATTCCCTTTCAGTTTTCAATCCTTCTCAGTCATAAACGACAAACACGTTTTAGGATCTGAATCTTAAGTATCATAAGCTGTTAGCATATATAGGAAGTTCAGGACCTCATAGTGACATTTAAACACTCTAAAATGACACAACATCGTTTTGTTAAAGATTTCATTAACTGTTTGTTTCATTCGGTCTGTATCCGATCAGTTATAGAGCAGGATTGGTAAAAAAAGAGTACAATTCCTGTTTTGTTCTTTCCGTGGACCAAAGGATTGGACAATTTGCGTTATTCATAGAATTAAACGACGGGTAAGACTTAGAGAATTTTTTAGTGGCATGTTGATCCAATTCTGATTTGATAGCTGTCTGACTCATCAATGTCTCACCAACACTAAGGTGAATAATATGAGTATGTTTTACTACTAGACATTACATATCCCGGTTATCAGTTCTATAACTTAATAAATCAAAACTGAGAAGAAATTTGCTAGGATTTTTGCGTCACGCCATACATGTAAGCAAATCATTGATGTGTCCCGTAAGAAGTGTCGAGCGGATTAAAAATTAAATGAGATAATCTGGAAATATATTTACTTAAACCATGTTCACAAGTTGAATTCCGAGGAATAAGAGAATTTCCACATTTAATTACAAGGGGTCTCCAGTCGCTCGAAATCGAAAACAACATCTCCCACCAAACAGATGGTTCGTACTCGCAAAACTCAGCTGATTAGTCCCTCATAAACTTAAAGCCATGAAAGTTGTGTTTATTCACTAGCTTTCGCTATGTGTCATTGATAGGTCATCGTTCCACATGGCTCCGAATAAAGACGAACGTAACTAAACGATATGTAGAGTTATGGTCTACTTCGTTATTGGAACTAGTATAATGATAGACCTTATCCTAAAATTGTAGACTTATCATGATATGATTACCTAATCTATAAGATCTTACGTGGAAGTTACATCATCTATTCTGATTCGATTCGTAACAATCCGCGATAAAACGTTTGAAGTTAGTAAAGAACACATTTGGGTTAGGGATAGAATAATATATTTAATGTGAGTAGAGACTAGTTATACAGAATAACTACGTCTACAAGGCTAAGCCATGCCACCTGACTGAATGCATATTCCCGCGTTCACTACTGTTGGCCCTCGCTCCATATCAAATGCTGAATATCTTATTTCTCAGTTATCTTATGTTCAGCTTTGAGTATTGCGTGGTTAGGACCAATACCACTACATATAAACCTCTCAACAAATAGACATTACCTGATGAGCTACTGTACAGCAAGATGAAAATTGCAACCACGATGACACGTACATTTAAATTTTATATTATATTTGTGATTGAGAGAGACGTTCCTAAGAAAGACATCACAACAAATCTTAGAGTGAGTTTGTCAGGATGCATGTCACTCTGATAAATGCAAAGGTTTATAAGTAGTGCCAACAGACTGGAAAGGGGAATATTTCATCAAGATAAATTAAAAAAGAGATTTTAGTAAGTGTGAGAAATACAGAGACATCACACAACTATCAGTACCATAAAAATTTTAAAAGTGTGACAAGCCCAAGTGAAACCGACAGGCTGACATTTGTGAGGATCACTGCTGAACAATCGCTTGAATGGAACCCATGTTGTTGTATAACCTCATTAATTACAGAAATGCACCCGACAGCTATGACAGGAGGACCTTAGTGGGTCTCTTCGACGCTATGGAGCACCCGAGGCAGTCGACACTGTTATACAGGAGGCAAAGGTATTCAAAGTCATGTATTTGGGTTACTCACAAAAGTGTTCCAGGTGAAGACTGTTAACGTATAAGACTTCCTACTCTCATATTCTCTCATTCTTCTCCTTGTGTTCTGGACATTGAAGACCTTCATACCTCAGAAATACAAGATAGATAAACGTTTGAGACATGGCTGGAAAGTCTGGACTTCGCCAGTGACCCAGTCGTTCTGTCCCATACGCAGGAATAAATGCAGATAAAGACTCACAGTGAAGCAACAGCTTCCATAGCACTAAGCCTCTACAGTTGCAGGGAAAATGGAAGGACTTGAAATACGGTAAAACGGACAATAATAAATTCACGCTTGATGGGAAGCTTCGGAAAAGACACAAGTCTTTGCATACTTGAGGACATTAATGATAAACAAAGAGGATTTAATGTACATATGGAAGCACGGACTCGCATGTGAAGTTACTATTCCTACCGTTCTAGAATATCTGGAACTCGAAAAACTGTCACACAACACTGAAATCAAAACTTTTGTTCGAAACGTTGGACACTCATGTCTAACGAAGCTGAAGTCAAAACTAACATCGAGAAAGTGAATCTGTTCTTAAAAAGCTATCCACTGAAGATACTGCAGATCAAGAGAGTTATGGACTACTTCGTTATCAGTACTGCTCTAATAATGGACTTAATCCTAATATTGTAGATTTGTCAAGCTGTAACTGTCTAATCTATAAGTTCTTACATGGAAGTCCTATCATTGTCTATACTGACTGGTCGTATAGTAACAATTACCAATATATGACATAGAACACATTCAGGTTGGAGATAGAAAAATATGTTGAATATGAGTAAAAGTAAATTGTACAGAGCGACCACTTCTGAGAAGCTGAGCTATGCCACCCGATCGCATCCAATTCGACTCATTCTTCCCGCCCCGATCGTTGGGTTTTTCTCGGCGTTAAATGTTAAACATATTTTTTCCAAGTTGTCTCGTGCTCAGCTTTGAGGATTGTGTGGCTAGGGCTCAATGGCATTACAGATCTACTGACTAGAGACGAACAAGAATAATCTATTGTAGCAGAGAATAAACCAACTGGCAGTTGATTCGGGAATTAAGGAGAGACTCTGAACATAGATAGGGTACATCTCGCGAAACCTTTTAATCTCCATCGTAAGGTGAGAACAACCTCGGAATCCTTAAGGCAAAAGGAAACTATTCAGACCAAGCAATCGAAAGATGACATGAAAAAGAAGAGAGTGGTTCAACGTGCAGCCAATACGTTTCAAAAAGAGTTCATTATTCGGCTATACTTACACCACAATTTGCTCCGTATGATCACGGATAAGTGAAAGACAAACTTGTGCTAGTTAGGATTATATAAATGCGTAAAACTTTTTCGCCAACATTTCAGCAGCCAATAATCATTTGAGATGTGACCGGGCCTTGTAAACATTGTGCTGGCAAGGTCTAATTATCTGTCATCCGGTTCATGTCTGATGGCGACTTGTATGTGGTATGTGTTGTTTTCATGTGACAGATAATCCGAAGACGGACTCTGAGTTTCCTATTTACAGTGTAATACTGCCAACTTTCCGTGACAGGACATTCATATGGTCTGTGAATTCGTTGATGAGGTGGCTGACTAAACTGCCTTCTTACGTTCATATTTGCATCATATAGACATGACTGGATAAATGAGGATGAAGATGCCACAAGTATTTGGAGTTTGACAACAATTCAACCAGAAACACATTCTATAATTGAATCGTGCCTACCCAGTGAAACCAACAGTCAGAAACGTGGAGGTTAGAAAAATTATTTGATAGGTTATCAAAGCGTCGAGTAGTGACTGGCTAGCGGTTGCAGGATGATCATAGTAAAGATTTAACCGGTTTGTAATTTGTCATCAATAAAATTTGAATTTTCTGTCGCTATCCAGTATCCACTCATTGAAAAAGCCTAATTTTCATACTCTTAATAAGATATCGAGTGGTTACGTTTATGCAGTGTTCTAGGTAAGGTCCGTCGTTAGCAAATTAGAAATTTCTCTGCAGATTTGTCAGATGATTGTCTCACATAAACTAGGAATTGAGACCTGTGTAAAAAACCTTAGACAAACCATTCACTTATGAACACTTGTGTTGTTTCTAGGCTTGGGAGTTAATTCTAGGAAGAGTGTGCTCATGCACATCGGACACGGTAGTCGTTACCATTATACTATTGATAGTACATCGCTTCCACGCGTTCAAGAATATAAAGACTCAGGAGTAATAATAAGTCATGACTTGAAAACAACTACGCATTGCAACTCAGATGTCAAAGGTTTTCGTGCGTTATGGTCACTTCGCTAAGCAGTCAAATGCTTTCACGTGGAAATGTTTCAAAGTATATATCCCATCTATGTAAGACCACATTTAGAGTACAGTATCCAAGCAACCAGCCCATGTCTGATAAAGGATACTAACTCAAATGAGAGTGTTCAGAGTGTGGGAACAAAACTAGTGAAGGGTCTTTTTAAACTTCCCTACGATGAGCGTTTAGAACGCCAAACACACCTCTTTTCCTGTCATATCGTAGGGCGCGAGGTGACCCTATACAGGCATTTCGTATCTTTAATTATGATTTAAGTGTTAATATATCTTGTCTTTTCTCTCTTTCAGCACTAGTAGTCTTTGGGGTCATAGCAAGAAGATTCACAAAGCGCAATCTAATAAGCTTAAAGTAGGGTCCCGGTTTTCTCATCGAGAAATCAACGACCGTGAAGATGGCACAGGAATCCAGTGTTTGACAACGCTTGTACCAGTAACACATTCTAATATAACTCGTACCCACCAAGAGAAATCAAAAGACAGAATCGAGGAGATCAGAAGTTGTATTTGACGATTGCCAATCTATCGGAATTGTATGAACAAGTCTGGCTAGCGATTGCAGTAGATGTTGAGCACGGCGTTCCCATGTAGAAATATGGTCTACTATGATATTAGTACTGCTCTTATAATAGACCTAATCCTAAATTTGTAGATTTGTCATGATATAACTGCCTAATCTATAAGATCTTACGTGGAAGTCACACCATCGACTACACCAACTCACTGTATCGTATCAATTACCAATACATGATGTAGAACAAGGTTAGGCTAGAGAAGGAACAATATATTTAATATGAATAGAAGATATAAGGTAACATTCAGATGGACCACGCCTGCATGGTCGAGCCATGCCATCCGATCAACTCCA